AGGGAGTGTGAGACACACACATAGCCACATGGCAAAAACAGAGGCCTCTCATCTGAATGGGTGGGTGTCCACATGGCAACCGGTGTTCTGCACATGAGCAGCACCCACAGGTAAGTTCCAATGTCTCTGCTGGTTCCTGAACATAGGACATGAGGGCAACTTCACAGTACACAGTTAGCTCTTGTAAGAATGGAGAGCAATGATGGTTAGGGACATGGGTGAATCACAAAGTAGCCAACTCTCAGGAAGTGTGCAATCTGAGCTGCCAGTTTAACACTTTCCTTACTCATTAACAGTCTTCTCATAGAAAGTAGAAAATCTGCCTTTCACTTTCTCAGGTAATCAAATGGCATGAGGTTCAATAAAATATATAGAAATTCAGTACAAAGAGACAAAATCATTTACTGAGGACAAAAGATCTTGTTTCTTGGCCTAACAATGAAGGCTGATTAAAATACACTTGGAAGCCCTGCACTAACTATAGTCCCAACCACAGGGGAGGCTGAATCAGGAGGACAGCTTGAGTCCGGGAGTTTGGTGCTAGTTTGGGCAACATAACAAGATTCCATCTTTTAAATTAAAAAATATAGACTTGGGAGGAAATATAAGTGGGTGTATCATTATCTATGACTAATGTAGTAATATAGTAGAAAAGTCATAGGAAGGGGAAGAAAATCAAATCAGAAAAAAATCCTGTTTTTTTAAATAAGAAGAATCATTATTTAGAAAGATATAAAAGTTGGGGAAACAGGGTGGGCAGTTTCAGGGTAGGAATTTATCAGAGGATGGCAAGACTAGTTAGTAGAAATAAGATGAATTACAGTAATATATTTAGAAAAGAGTGTAGAAGAGAGTTTGGAGAGAGGCTGTCAACACAGTGAGAAGACACTGACAGGTGCAGAATATCTGGTATTATTTCAATCTTCAGGAGTGAGCAGAACTACAAACACAGAAGTTTAATTACCAAGCATAGATCTCAACAAAGATTGAACTGAGCTTCCATCACTGTTTATGATAACGACACCAGGAGAAGAGAGCACTGGGGCTAGGAACATGACTCAGGTGGTAGAGCTTCTGCTTAGCAAGCACAAGGCTCTGAGTTCAAACCTCAGTACAGCTAAAAACATTAACAACAAAAAATCCCTTCTATAATTCTGAGAATTATAGGGTTAGGTGAATACCCTATAATACCGAAGAACACCAGGGTTAAGTGAAGTGAAGTAGCCATTGGAGGCTAAGCATCATGTGAACTAGTAAGCACCACCTTGAGGGATTCCAGAGTGAGAGAAGGGATAGAAGTTTGTACAGAGGGTGAAGTTGGTTGGCATGCTGCAAAGCACCTGTGAACCAACAATGTTTTCTCCTGTTGGTCTACATCAGCACTGGGAACTCAATGGCACAGCTCTAAAAAGCCTCTTCACTCTTAATAGGAACTTAGAACTGAAGAACAGTGCCACACACTCACCTTCTCTGTGGGCTGACAAAGGTTTAGAACAATGGCTGTCCTCAGGCTGCTCCGAGGACAAGGATGGCTGGAACCAGTTTAAGAACTGGCAACATGCTTGAGGCAAAAGATCCAAGAGGGCAGGTAAGATTTGATGCTGCAGGAAGCACGGAGACAAGCTCATTGTGGTCTGGCAAATGGATAAAGAAAATTAAAATAGAAAGGGCTGATAGTACAAGGAAAGGTTTGTGGACCTGAAGTCTGAATATACAAGTGAGTATATTTTTACCATTAAAAACAGAACTCTGATCCATAGCCTATGTAACTTACCCAGGAAACCAATTTCTTACCTTTAGTTATCAGTCCAGGTCTTTAGGAAGTTAGGCCACTACCTCTAGTAGACCAACCAGAGAAAGCAAAGATGCTTTTCCTGACCAGTCACAGAGTGTTCCATCTCTAGCTGTCCACAGCTCGCTTCCCCATGTGAACAGAGCTCTCCCAGAGCCTGACTTCTTCCCACCATGAAGCCTTCCCACCTCTCTGCTGCCAGGCTATGAAAACAAAATTGATGATGGCTGACTCTTGTTACAGCCAACTTTGAATAAATACTCTGTTTTCATGTGGTTGGCATTCACATATTTCCATAGAACCAAAGACTAAAAGTAAGAAAAGAGTACATTCAGGATATGTGAGGAAGAGGAAAATTAGTTGGGAATACAGAAGAGGGATTTCTGAACACTTTGGAGAGAATGAACATTTATGTATTGTTTGTGTTTCCTGACGCTTTGTTACAGATTTCCAAAACTCATTAAATCCTCATAAAACTTATGAGGTAGACTTTTAAAAAACATAGCATTTTTAAGGGAAATGAAGCTAAAATAGCCTCATAAGCCATTTGAAGTGAAATAGAATCCTAAAACAGAAGGTCTTCCCCACTGTATTAAACCACTCTCCCAGACCCCCTCTGAGATGCCAGTTGCAGATCTGACTGTGGTCTACTACTGTAGAAGTTTCAATAATTGTACTGTGACTCCTTGCTCCTTCTCTTGGTATTCTCTCAATAGATGATGAATTAAACATTTTACTGAAAAATCTTGCCTAAGTTAACAAAGAAGGTAGAATGTGGATTTGAGTTCATATCTTGCTGACTTCAAAGTTCATGGTTGTTCACTGCATTAGGCTAACTTAGAAGTTGAGTAGTTTGCAGGCAGGTGGGTGCACAAGTAGGGTGGACATTAAATTTACTGATCTGAGGTGGTTAAATAATAGTAAAGCTAAGGAGCTTGGTAGTATATTTTCAAGTTACTAAGGACGTTGGGGAGAGACGATGCTGGTAGTTTAGTCAGGCACAAAAGAAGGTGAGAGAAAGTCCTGCAAGTTAGAAGATGATTTTATCTCTGATAACAAGAGGAAAGTAGATGCTATAAGAAAATGTCATCAAATTAAAATGAAAATTATCCAGAAAAGATGGTGGAACAATGGTGTGTGAAGTGGTTGGGAATATTAGTCACTGCAGTACTCTACGTCCTCATCCTGAGCATTGCAGAGAAAGGGAAATGAAGAAAACTCAGGGGGGAAGGGTAGGAAGTTAGGGGAAGCCAAGATGGCAGCTCTAGGGCAGACACACTTACTGATATGGCTGAGAATGTAGAACAGTAAAAAAACAGACCATGGAGATTAGGGTGTAGAAGAGAGAAAGATATAAGCAGGGGTAAGGGTGCAAGTTCTGGAAAAGATGGTACAGGGATGGAATCTAGTAACCAGAGTTACTACCCACAGGAAAACAGTTGCATGACTTAAAGTAAAAATTCAAGTAAATGATAACCTTTCCTAAGTAAAATAAACTATAATTCTAAGGCTTTCTATTTTTCCATTGAAATCTACCAAAATCTGGTAATAGGGGCTGAAAAGTCCTGGGTTTGTTATCTTAAGTAGTTTTTATGGCTTGACTATATAAAATTGCTTTCTAGATGCTTGGGTTTGCATTTAAAATACCCAGAAGTCTTCAGTATAAGATAAAGTGAAAGAGATAGGCAGAGTGCTTCCACTCAGTAAATATCAGTCATTGTCCCTTGTTCACAATGTCTTCATATTTGATGTGTAATAAATAACATTAGCAGAAGATGACAGCAGACTGCTGTTATTCTATTGCTTTCCTTATAATCCCAGTACAAATTTTCTCCAGGTTCAATCTAGGAAGTAAATATATTTAAGGAACACCTTTCTAACATGACTTAAAGGAGTCCAAAATATATGCTGATTTCTTTCTTGTATATTCTGCTCTATACATAACACCTGTTTCCTGGTATTAGATTATAAAGGACCATAGGTGAAAAAAAGTGTCCACTGTTTTTTTCAGGACAATTTCTATGCCAGAACATTCAAACTCAAGACAGAAAGAATACCCAGGATGAAACTCATGTGTCCATTACCAGGTTGCTGCTGGTTTTAAGCTACAGAAGCTGGGCACTTAAACTAATGTTTTCCTTGGAAAAATTACAAGTTCATCCTAAACTCTAACTCACAGTTACTGTTGTAATTTTGTGGCCTCAGTTCAGCTTTGCAATAATGCATATGTAATAATAAACCTCTTATCTATCTACTCCTTGTTACTTTTTTACATATTTCCCTGACCTCAAAAAAAAAGTTGCATCTCAGGGAAGAGTTGGAGGAGATTTATAGTGCTGAAACCATGATGTGATAGCTTTGCCAGTCTGGAAAACCCTAGGAAGATATGATTTAATGTAACTAAAAAGACGTGGTACACTCATGTGTCACTTAAGGACAGGGAACTGTGTCCTTGGTCAATTTCATCATTGTGTGACATCAGTGTACTGACATGGCTATAATGTCATTAGGCAATCTTATCTTATGAGACCCCTGTGGTATATGGGGGTCCATCATTGACCAAAATGTCGTTATGTATAGCATGACTATACACAAATATAAAGCTGTTCTACTTACTAGATCAAGAGCAGACTGTGCTAGACTGCAGCTGTCTTCTCTTAGATAGGCTGACTAATTCTTTGGTTTTGATTTGTCTGAGACAGGATCTCACTATGCTGGCCTTGAACTCACAAACTTCTTCCTCTGTCTCCTGCATATAATATTATATGCATATGCCATAATGCTGGCTTATTTAACCCCTAACTTGAAAAAATAAAATTTCCTGAGATGTGTATGTTAACTTCCATTTGATGCAACAACTAGCACAGGGTTTTCTGTCCATTGGGGGAACTCATCAGGCTCATGTGGGAGATCAAAACTTCATACAAAGAAGTTTCCAGAAATGCAGGCAGTTGAAAAAATTTCATTTGGTTGACTACACCTCTGTATAGAATATGGCCAAATTATAAAGTGATTTAAGTCATTGTGTGTGTCTACTCCCTGATCTAAAAACAAGAGCATCTGTGGACAGACAGTCATGCCTCAGCTTACCCCAAGGGGAAGGTGGATGATCACTTCTATTTAGGATATTTTTCTTTTCACTGTCCAGGGCCCTCTTTGATTTTCTTGCCCACCCACTAAAAGAGAATTTTTGTTTGTTACCTCTTACCGACATTTATTTTGACAATTTTTTTCTGAGAGTCCATCCTCGTCCTCTCCCATGATATCCACAGCTGAAAATATCAATGCAACCAGAATGGCAAAGCAGCAGACCAGGGCAAAGATCACAATGCACTTCTGCTGCGACTGGAAGAGAAAGAAGGGGAAGAAACATAAGTGGGACTATCATCACTCAGGAAACTCAAGACTTGATAATTCTTCAAAGTTCCTTGGACAATTCTTTGGGACACATTAAATCATCACTATAGAGGGGCAGATCTCTGGGAGAAAATACCCAAGACTTTTATGCTTACTCAATACAATTGCAATCCCCATTAAATTATGTTACAACCTGTTAAAAATAATTCAAGTGTGATATCTAGATTTCTGAATGAATATGCTATCCTTTCTTATAAAAAAACAATCCAGAGAAAATGGCTATAGGATCCATTGCTTTAAATTATATAGGTTATGTAACTGGCACAGTTTATGTCAAAAATACGAAATAAACAATATTCATACTCTTGATTTTCATTCAGAAATAGAAACCAAAGGTCCAGGTGGTCAAAGCCACTAGTGTCCTCAACTACAGGCCCAAGGGTTGTAATCAGAGGCATCCCTATCTCTATGAGCTTGTGGCGAAAGGTGGTGAAATACAGAACCATGATAACTGGATAGGAGCTGTGACCACTGGAACAAATAATTTTGCCTGTGCTATGGTCTGAATATGTGTGCTTCACCAGCAAATTCATAGGTTAGTGTCTTACCACCCCAAAGCAATGATATTAGGAGGTGGGATCTTTTGGAGGATGGTCAGGTCATGAGAGCAGAATCTTCATGAATGGGATTAGTGACTTTGATGGCATGAGAAATCCTTTGCCCCTTCTACAATATCAGGATGCAGCAAGAAGGCACCATCTCTGAAACAGGAACTGAGCCCTCACCAGACACTGAATCCTCCAACACCTTGATCTTGAACTTTTCACCTTCAAAACAGTGAGAAAAACATTTCTGTTGTTGATACACCAGCTTCCTTGTGGTATTCTCTTATAGCAGCCTGAACAAACTAAGCCCCCTTCTACTAAACACATTGAATGTGACAAAGAAGAGAAAAAGCAATTTAAAAAAAAACAAACTATGAAGCTTTTAGGGGTTATTTACAAAGGAGGGAGACTGATATTTGATTAGGCAGCCACAGGTACTACCTTAGTGATAGGATAAACTCTTGTGCACACACACAAATTTACAAATACACACTTCAAAGATTCGTTGAAACCAGCTGACTTTGTCTCCTCCCATCACCTTCCTTTTCTTTACTGTAATAGGCACATGATCTCTAAAGAATCCAAGGAACCTCCCAAATTCAGACCCCAGTTCTTCCATGAGGCACCTCTGGATTGCAGGTTACTGAAGATATAGCCCAGCCAAAAATATCAGAAGTGTTCCTGTGACCAGGCTCTATGATCTCAGATGAGTGCTCTCTTCGTGTGTTTTCTAATCCTCCTTCAGTTCTCATCTCCCATCATGACTTGTCCCAAATCCATTTCTGCCTCTTGTTACATTTTTCTCCACAAAGGTAAAATAGGCAGAAGCCAAAGAAAGGCACATCATTGTTCTTTTACCTAAGACCTTGGTTATCTTTAAGGCATGGGTTGTATTTTCCTTTTTCTATTCCTAAGCAATCAGCACAGTGTCTAACAAATAGAAGGGGCTCAAAAAAATCATTGTGTACACAAATAAAAAATGAATGAATGAAATGAAATTATATGGCATACTTCTAAGGATGCATGATCACACGAAATGTTTCTTTCAAGGCACAATTGTGACCTTACTGAAAATTGGCTTGTTTCCATACTTTGGTGATTGTAATTCTTATAGTTCATTCTTTTCACTATTTACTGGAGCCAGAGGCAAATTCATATACCACATTTAGCAATTATATAAAACTCTGCAGGACAGTTTGTGTATTTTTCTTGCCTCTTTATTTTCTATCCGTCCCCTATTCCTCACTATTTTATTTTGATGCTGGGGATCAAGCTCATGCCTCACGCAGGATAGACAAGTGGTTTACCACTGAGCTCTACCTGCAGCCAACTAATTTTATTTTCAAGAAGCAGCTCTGGTTAAGGACCCTAACTTTCAAACCAGCACTGACTGATTGCATATCTTTGGGTTATGTTATTTGTCTTTGTGTTTCAGCCTTCTTGTTTATAAAATGGGACTAAGAAAAATAATTGCTTTGTGAGGTTGTAATTAAGAATTAAATTAAATAAACTGAGCACTGGTTATTCATGCCTGTAATCCTAGCTACTTGGGAAGCAGAGATCAGGAGGGTCATGGTTCAAGATCAGCCTGAGCAAAAAGTTCATGAGACCCCATCTCAATCAACAGCTGGGTACAGAGGCATGCACCTGTCATCCCAAAGTACACAGGAGTCTGAGATGGGACAGATCATAATTCCAGGTCACCATGGAGTGAGAGGGAAGTTTGCAAGACTCCATCTCAACAGAAAAAATTGGGCATAGTGGCATGTGTCCATCATCCCAGTGACAGTAGGAAGCATAAAATAGGATTGTGGTCTGGGCCAGCCTGTGCAAAAAGGGAGAACCTATTTCCAAAATAACCAGAGGAAAAAAAGGTTTGGGATGTGGCTCAAGTGGTACAGAGCCTGCCTAACAAGTATGAAGTCCTGAGTTCAAACCCTAGTACCACCATAAATAAGTAATTAAATAATAAATAAGTAAAATTAGACACTGTGTGCAGTACTTGGAAAAGTTACTGGGATAAGATAGCACTAAATGACTGTTTGCAACTGGTGGCATATTGCTGCACTTTATGCAGAGCTACCTCAAATATTTTAGAGAAACAGGTGACTATATGAATAAACAAAAACCATACATCAACAACTATCAGATACACAAGAAGAAGGAGACAGAAAGAGTGAGAACTAGCACATAAAGAATGAAACAGAGAGATACAGAGAGATATTAGGTGGAAATTTTCTAAGAGAAATTATTCTAGCCCCGTGTCAGACATCAACAGATACCAAAATCACCTGGAGGCCATGTAAAAATACGCATTGCTGGGTTAAAATACAGAGTCTTTACTTCAGTTTGTCAGTGTAGAGCCCAAGGGTGTGCATGGGTAACAAGTTCCCAAGAGATGTTGCTGCTAGTTCAGACGCGCATGCTGAGAGAATATGGGCACCGAAGTTACAATAGTCCAAAGCCCCCTCATCCTTGAAGGATGTTCCAAGCCCCTCCAGTCGGTGCTGAAAAACAGGTAGTAATGAACTCTACAGGTACTATGCTTTCTCCCATACACATGCCCATGATAAAGTTTACTTGTAAATTAGATACAATAAGAGATTAACAGTAGCTAATAACAAAATAGAATTACATGAAGAACTGTGATAAAATTAACAGCATTACTCTTACTCTTTAAGTAAAATAAGGGTTACTTGAACACAAGGACTGTGATGCCTCCATCATATAACTGATATTGCTACTGAGGAATGAGCAGGTGACATATACAGCTGAACATACACAGATAGTGCACATCTGAGGTGGGATGGAGAAGGATGGTGTGAGATTCCATCGCAACACTCAGGATGGCATGCTATTTAAAACTGAAAGAGTGGTTCTGAAATTTGCCATGTAACATTTTCTGACCTCGGTTGACTATAGGTAAAAGAAACTGCAGAAAGTGAAACTGTAAACAGGAGCTATATCATCATCTATATTAAATTGTGCTTAATATAGGCTCATTCTTGGAACTCAGTTGCCATTAGTAGTTAATTTTCAAATATAGAGATCATAGCAAATACATTCTAACATTTTAAATATAAATCTTATAATTTATTTTCTTCATGGGGGTCTAAAATAATTTTAAACAATATTTGTTTCTTATTCTTAAAGTTCTGTGGTGCCAGCCCTGGTGACTCATGCCTATAACCCTAGCTATCCTATCAGGAGGATTGCAGTTTGCAGCAAATAGTTTGGAGACTCTATCTTGAGAACACCTAACTTAGAAAAGGGCTAGAGGCAAGATACTTCAAGAAACCCCTTTGAACATTGATTTTGGAATTAATAACAAAAGACAGGACTGTAAGATAGGTTCAGTATGTGGGGATACTTGTGAGGCAGGGAATGGAGGAGATGAAGATGAGGGAATATGGTTGATGGTCTTCATATGCATACATGAAATAGAATGAAGAAACCTCTTGCAACTGCTTTAAGTGGGGCAGGGAAGGATTTGGGGGGTGGAGGGGGATAGTGGGGGCCATCTAACCAATGTACAATGCAAGTCTATTCAGAATTGTCACAATGAATCCCCCTTGTACAACAAATATATTCTAACAAAAATGGAAAAATGTATTTTTAAAAAGGGGCTGATGGAGTAGTTCAAGTGATAGCGTGTTTCCCTAGCAAGCATGAAGCCCTGAGTTCAAACTTCAGTACCACCAAAAAAACCTTTTGCTGTGACCTTTTAAAAATGTTAGTGCTATTCATTATGTGATAACCAGAAAATGTTTATTGTTAACTCTTTTTGAAAAATATACGTAATATAAAAAAAGAAAACTCACTCAATCCTACTGAGACACGAACATAGTTATATGTTCATTATATGACATGGGCATTTGTCTCCTTCAGTCTAAAAATCCAAACAAAAAAGTGCTACTCATTTTATGTACATATGTACGTATGTATGTACGTATGTATGTATTTATTGGGAGCACTAGGGTTTGAACCTAGGGCCACATGCTTGCTAGGCAGATGCTCTTACTGCTTGAGCACTCCACCAGCCTCTTATTTATTTTTTGAGCAAAGTATCACTATATAGCCCAGGATGGCCTGAACTCCTGTCTCAACCTCCCAAGTGCTGAGATTACAGGCGTAAACTACCATGCCCGGCTCACTCTTCAATTTATAACAGAAAAATAATTGTTAAATTTTTTTTACTTTATCCATTTTTCCTAGCAACTGTAAACAGGAACAAAGAATAAAAATTTTAGAAGGGTTTATAGTAATAGAATAATATTCAAATTAATCAAGTCCAGAAAAACCTCTAAGTCAGGAAATGTAATTAAACATTATCTCAAAAAGAATCTCAACGACAGCAACTTATACCTCATCAGGTCCATAGCA